TAGGAATGAATGAAGGAAGGATAGTTGATTCTTAGGGTTAAACCTTAAGAAATAAAGAAGATAATGGGGATGGGTAATTGGGTTGATTGTTGATGATTAAATATAATAATTATATTATTGTGGGTTGAAAACCATATATGCTCACCAGGCTCCCAAGCCTGACCCACTCAGTTGCTTTGTATTACAGGTAGTGGCGCGAGAGCATAAGTTGGATGACTTATCAAGATATTGTGGATTATAGATCAGTAGTTGTGAATAATTGTTGTAAGGTCTATTTTGTACTGTTTATGCTTTTTGTCTGTATCGGAACATGACATCCCGAGATTTTTGTTATATAATGCAAAATACATTTCTTTAAGGAAATGCTTTGATAAATTCTTATCACATTTTGTTTTGGGAACAAATTCCACAACTCTTTTAATCAAAGGATTACTCTAATTTTATAAAACAAAGCATAAACAAATTGGTCTTTTCTGGCCGTGAAAATTGGGGATGTCACAGTATCCGCGAGTTGATCGCGACTACTGACATGATGTACTTTCAGACAACCACTCTCAATCTTTCACGGACAAAATGATAGTCTAAAGCTATATGTTTCATGCGACTATGGAATATAGGATTTGCACACAAGTATGTGGCGCCAATGTTGTCACAGTATAATACATGGGTTTGAGCTAATGTTATACGAAGTTCAGAGAAGAGGTGGGTGATCCAGGTGACTTCTGATGAGGCATTTGATATAGCCTTGTATTCAGTCTCTGTGGAAGAACGAGATACCAATTTTTGACACGTTATTTTCCAAGAGATAATGTTCGACCAAAGGTAGATGGCATATCCTGTTGTTAACCTTCCATTTTCTGATACTCCTCCCCAATCAGAGTCACTAAAGGCAGTAACTCTCAATGGTTGTCCACGCTTCAAAACTATGCCATGGTGAATTATGCCCTTCAGATGACGTAGGAGTCTTTTCAAATCTTGCATTTGAGTGTCATTTGGGTCATGCATGGACTGAGAGAGGCGATTTGTGACAAAAGCTATAGTTGTTCGGGTTATCGCAAGATATTGTAATGCACCAATGATCTGGCGATACTTTGTGGGATCTGATGGGGCTGAGTTGTCGACTAGAGAAGTGGCACTCTGCATGGGTGTTATGAATGGTTTTGCATCAGCCATCTTGTGATTAGTTAGGATATCACGAATGTGTTTGCTCTGAGAGAGAAATAACCCATCACTGGTGGAGATAACATCCACTCCAAGAAAATGATGAAGTTCACCAAGGTCTTTGAGTGCAAACCTGCGATTTAGCTGAAACACAAAGGCATCAATAGCACTATTATTATTCCCGGTCAGAATGATATCGTGAACATAGACAACAAAGTACATCACTATTCCTCCAAACTCAAATATCAAAAGGGAGGCATCAGATATAGATTTTCGAAAGCCATAGTTGATTAAGAATACCTTAAGCTCAAGATACCAAGCTCGTGGTGCTTGTTTGAGCCCGTAGAGAGCTTTGCGCAACTTACAGACATGATTTGGGAATTGTGGATTGACAAAACCTGGAGGTTGGACCATATAGACTTCTTCTTGAAGAGTGCCATTTAAAAAAGGCATTATTGATGTCTAGTTGGCGTAAGGACCACTTTCGTAATAGAGCAATGCATAATATGATGCGTATTGTGACCGGTTTTCTAACGGGGTTGAAAGTATCGGTGTAGTCAATGCCATGTCGTTGGTGAAATCCTTTAGCTACTAGACGTGCCTTGTATTTTTGAATAGATCCGTCAGAGGATCGCTTAATACGAAAGACCCACTTACAACCGAGAGTGTTTTGGGAAGTTAGAGGTACTAAATCCCAGGTTTTGTTTTGGGTGAGTGCATTAAACTCTGTAGACATGGCATCACGCCATTAAGGTATTTTAAGGGCTTGGGTGACACATAATGGTTCAAGAGTCTCTGGTAGGGGTGAGCTGATGTTGTGTTGAGATAAATATCACTGAAGTACTTAGGATTGGGTTTTCTTTGACGAGGTTGAGGCGGTAAAGAAACCGGTGGGGATGGTGATACAACTTGCGGTGATGGTGGAGGTGGAGTATATGTGGATTGAGGAGTGCAAGATAAATTTTCTGGAGAGTGGGTATTGGTATTAGAGGTGGTAGGGGATGGTTAGAGTTATGAGTGAGAGTGGTTTCTGGTGGTAGGGTCTGCATAGGAGACAGAGTAGGTGTACTTGGTGACACACTAGTGGTCGAGTTGTGAGAGTCTTCCACATGGGTATAAACATCTTGAGGGGTTAGAGATTGATCATTACTAGCATGCCTCCATGGAAATGTGTCCTCAAGAAATCTAACATGTCTTTATAAGCGGACTGAGAAGTGGAGTGCCCTAGGAAGATCAGGCTGTAGATTTAGGTTGGAGTTTAGAAGATGTATATGGTTTAAGCCATGTAAATAGCCAAAGATTTTGAGGTGTGTATAGTTTGGTTTTTGTTTGAACGGGAGTTATAGAGGAGTTTTATGATTTAAACTGGGTGTTAGAAGTCGATTTATAAGATATGTGGCTGTTTGAACTGCATAAGACCAGAAGGTGGTTGGCAAATTTGCATGGTGAAAAAGTGTAAGTGTTGTTTCCATGAGATGGCGGTGTCGTCGTTCTGAGATACCGTTGTGTTATGGGGTGTGAGGAGGTGTGGTAAGGTGTGAGATACCGTGTGATGTGATAGTATTTTTTAGGAATGTGTATTCCCCTCCATTATCTGAGTACACAGTTAATAAGGGAAGTTGAAAACGGTGTTCAACTAACTTTTTAAATTGTGGAAAAATGATGGCAACATCAGATTTCTTTCTCAATGGGTAAATCCATGTATATCGGGAGAAATGATCGACAAAGATTACGTATTAACGATATTTGTCAATAGAGATGTCGGTAGGTCCCCAAACATCAGTATATACAAGCTCTAAAGGTTTATTGCTTGTTAGAGAGCTGTTTGCAAATGGTAGTTTATGACTTTTATGACAATGACAAGAATGCCATATTAACGAAGAACATGAAATTTTATTATGACTAAAGTGAGAGGAGTTTAAAACAGATTGTAATATGCGAGGAGCAGGATGTCCTAAGCGTAAATGCCACTTATTTGCTAGATCTGTGGCGATAACATTGATTTGAGGTTTTCTTGAAGGCATGAAGAAGTAAAGATCATTCTTGTTTTCCCCTCGAAGTAGTTGCGCCCCCGTGCGAAGATCCTTCACCAAAAAATGTCACAGAAAAAAATTCCATGGAAACATTGTTAGTCTTACAAAATTTTGCAACAGAAATTAAGTTCTTGTTTAAAGAAGGAACACATAGGATATCATTCACATGAAAAAAACGAGATGGTAAGTTTAAGGTTGTGTGACCAATGTGTGTTATTTTGAGACCTGAACCATCGCCCAAAATTATTTCTTCAGGACCGCCATAATCAGAGAAAGAGTGTAGGTGATCTGTTTGCCCAGTGAAATGGTGAGAGGCTCCTGTATCGAAAATCCTTGGATTGGATTTGTTTGAGTTCATTGTAGTGAAATGTGCCTGAGGAGAAATGTTATTAACTTTTAGAAATCGAGACAAACGTCGACATTCTTTAGTAAAATTTCCAGCACGGTCACAAAAATTGCAAAAGGCTTGAGGATTGTAAGAGGTTCTGGGGTTGGAAGGTTGAGAATTTGGTCTTCCTTGATGCTGTTTCCCTCTTCTTATGTCTTGATAGGAGTTTTGAGATTACCTACCAGATGTCTTTCCGCCTTTATGGGTGAAATTGATGTTGGGAATGACGATAGACTCATCTTTCGTTCCTTTTGTCGTGTGAATCTCGAAGTCAGTGAGTTTATTTTGAAGCTTATAGAAAGAAATCGAGGAGTCACGAGCTTGGATGGCAGCCCCCATCTCCTTGAATTCATCTCCTATATTGTGAAGGACATGAACGACAAGATCTTCATCATCAACAGGGTTCCCGGCTAGTGCAAGATTGTCAGCTATTTGCTTCATATCTTGAAGGTATGTTGGATTGTGGTTGTCAATTAGCTTCTTTTTTATAGAGATGACATGAGATCTGGAGGGGTTGGCATACAAGGTTGTGAGTCGTTGCCATGCTTCAAGGGCAGTTTCGGCAGAGGAGATATTAGGCAGGGCCGGTCCAAACGTATATGGGGCCCGGGGCGAAAGGAAAAAAAATGACCCCTTAAAGACAAATATAATAAAGATTCAAAAAAAAATTATTCTTCACTATAAATGTGTTCAATTACCAATAACAAGCAAGCCAAATTGTTTATCTTTTGAGCTAGCTTGAGTTTGAACCAACTTTAGGCCCTAAAAATCATTTAGGTAATAATTTTTTTATAGATATACACTACATAACCCAGAACTTTTGGGCCCCCTGGGACGTGGGCCCTGGGCGGTCGCCCGGGTTGCCCACCGTCTGGACCGGCCCTGATATTAGGTTGGATAGAATCGGAGCAGCTTCCTAACATGGCACCGATGATGATTTGATCTTGACGATACCAAAGCATGTGATCTGGGTTTGGTTTCTTTTTTTCGGGGTCCAAAATTTTTTCTGGAACAGCTACAGTACCATCGATGTACCCTAGGAGATCAAGACCTATGAGGGTTGAGGAGACTTGTCCACGCCAAACAGAGTAATTTGTTTGGTTAAGCTTGATGGGAAAGTGTCTGGGTGCTATGAGTTGAATGATGGTTTTTGTAGACATTGGATCGTTTGAGCTTGTTAAAGCAAGTAAGCTCGGATACCATATAAATGATAGACTATTGCATAGCAAAGCTACAGCAAAGCTACAGAGAAAGGTTGTATAGGTTCTGTATTCAAAAAAGGACACATTACAGAGCTACTATAGACAACTATATATACATATTTTACAGCAGGAAAATTAGGGAGTCAAATCCCATGATTTTAGGTGATGAATCGTCTATGATATAGGTTGCTTATAACTCCACAGATAAAGGTGGAGATTGATAATTTCCATATCAGATAGATATGGGTTTAATATCTACCTCATTTTTCCGAGTACATGTGACACTCCTGTTCTTTTCCGGTCATTCAGTTATGATTCCACTACGCCGACCTTGCTCCAAGTCATTGTCGATATTCTCCAATCCATGTCTTCCAATCGACTCACCGCTTGGTCTTCCAGTTACAGTATCCACCGACTCTGAACATTTTTGTTTCTTCGACATCCAACGAAAGAGAAGTCATATCAGATACCTTTCTCTACGACTTCTCAAATTCTTTCGGTCATCGCCATCATCTTCAGCCGGCACCAACACCATCGACCCAACCCCAGCGCACCACCAACGATCGCTCACCGCTCCCAACGCAGCACCATTGACCCCCTTCACCGCCACGGACCACCGTCGTGGCCCACCATAATCAGCAAATCGCTTTTAGAACAGGTATTGGAGATGGACGCCAGCAAAAGGAACGAAGGTTACTGATTTAATCCATTCTCTTTAGTTATGTCAAATTATTTCTTCTTCATTTTTCCACCATCCTCTTAATCATTTTTTTTATCAATTGTTGTTTGATTTGAAGGCTTTCTTTCACATCTCGGATTAACTGTGGTCTCCATCTTCCCACATCAAAGTCACTTTAAAGTCACCATTTTGAAGAAGTTCTTGAATTGGGAGTTCTGTGTTTTAATTTTCTTCATGTTATAATTCTGGATTTGTGGTATTTTGAATTTCTTCATTTCTCACCAAGCTTCACAAACCTTCTTAGTGAAAATAGAAACTAATTTGGGCTTGTTTGATTGTTTTTGTTGTTCATAATGGGCAGATTTGAAGATGCACATCAACTGCTTGATGAAATGCTTCAAAGAACCGGTAAGCTTAGTTCTACTCCATCATCTATTACATACGCTTCTTATTCACACATTTTTGTTAATGATGTAAATATTTTTGTTTTTATGATCTAAAAAGAGGTTTTGATCGCCAATTTTAAAGACTTTGCTTATCTAACCATTGGGTGTAGAGGCGATGGACCAGAAGGAGATATCCTGATGCTAACATCATAAGGATACCACATACCGCATTCATGATATTATAACCTCAAACATGGCTGGGGTAACATGAATCATTCATTCCTTTTATTTACTTTTCCAATGTTTTTTACTGGATTTTCTTTCTTACTAATTACTCCATATGCAACTACAGGAAGGAGTAAGCTAAGTTGAGCATGAAACAACAAACTGAGAGGCAGAGAAAAAATCAGTAAAACGTTAGCAAACCTGAAACGATGGTGATCTTTTGGGGCTGCAAACCTTTTGGTATGTATTGCCCCTAACTATAGATCAGATCCGACAAATGAGAAAAGAAATTTTTGCCATGTATCTTCACATTTATACAGTAAATCATCATCCAACTTTTTTTGTAATTACAAAATGACTACAATAATTACATCCTAACAGGTACCCCCACCCTAAAAAGTTTATAGCTTCTCTTCTTTAACATTTGTATTAAATACGTTGCTTTTCATATTACATTGCAAAAATTAACAGTGTATCGGACACTCAAAAGCTGAAAGATTCCACTGCTATAAAGGTAGAACTTAAAGATCGATCCCAAGTAACATATTCTGTCCAATTTTTTTTCACTTTCTTAGATCAATTTCCCAACATATCTTTTAACTGTCTAACATCCACGTTAAATTGACTTCTAATGCAGGAAGACTTCAAATCGGCTCCACTGCTGGAACTTACATCTATTTGAATCCTGTTATTGACAAAGCAAAATCTTTAATATCTAGGTAAGGGATACCCGGCTTGTCGATGGAGGTATACATAATTTTATGAAAATATATTAATTTAACAGATTGGTTTGAAGTTATAATATTATATTTAATTTATATTTTATTACAGGTGATGAAAACTCAAAAGAAGAAAAAGCAAAACTACCTGAACAATGATAATGCATTGGGACCCACAAAGGTTCGTGTTTTTTTGAATCGACACATTTTTTGAAACATCCATCCATTTTCATTATTTTCTGTAAACTAACTTTTCAAATGGAATTAAAACAGAAAATTGTTGTATCGACTCTTGATAAAGTGGGAGATGAAACTCCATTGACAAAGAAGAAAGTCAATGAAAGTCGTGTTCTGAGGACAATATCTGGTGTGATCATAAAGTGGTGCCTTATGGTGCTATGTGTTGTTGATGTTGAAGCCGAAAATAAAGCTTTTTTTGGATTCATTTTATGGGTTCAAAAAGGGGGTATTCTCATTGTCTGCTTGTGTTTGCTCAATTCCTGATTTAGAGACACATCTTAAGTTAATTCACCTCCCAGGTAATGACATCACTATTTTTTTTTCCTTTATTGCTTTCTTTATAACAATAACCTGAATGATGCTTACAATATTGGTCTCATGTATCAAGTTCTTATGATTTAAGCATGAGAATGATAAGGTATGAAGTTTCTAGCATTCTACTACTTAATAACTTTATCATTCTTTTTCATATTTTTCTCTTCAGGTTGTTATACGTAATGAGATGTGATTGCATGGTGCAGTGGACAGCAGCTATACTAAGTCTAGATTATGACAATATTCTAGATAAAAGTTTTGGGGGTGAAGTAGTGGCCAGATGGTTAATAGTTCTTATTAGAAAAAGAAAGAAAATTTTGCTGCATCATGGTTTTAATAAAAAAAAATATTTCTATCAATGCAGTTATTACAAAACTGGAAAAGATTCCCCATTGTTCAAAAATAAGGTCAAACACATTAGAGGAGGAAGGGGCCATACATTCCAAGAATTTCCATGGCATCCACATGTTCTATCTCATGGACCTTATCACAACATGATGATCTAGCCCGCTTTTGGAAGACATACAATCAATGTAAGTTTTATCTACTTTTTTAGGAACCCAGAGTACTGGTGAGTGGTTCCAAAAAAACTACTCTGATGAATAATCTAATGCTCTAATTTTAGAGTTATTGACTTCCCACCGCATCATCATTTTTTACTTTCAATGAATCTAACATGCGATTTAAGATATTATATAGGTTGATAAAAAAATAACCAATTTCCAGTTCTGCCATGATTGATATGTGATTATATCATCTTTTTTTTTCATGATGTTGTAAAAGAGTTGAATATTAAGATAATTGTATACTTTATATAACGAAAATTTTGAATGCACATATAGAAAGTGGTAATCTGATGTACAATGACGTCTTTTATAGCATGTCAAAGTAGTTTATTTGAAAAATCTTATTATTTTTTTAATTTAATAACTTTGGTTGCTAAAAGTCACTAATACAATAAATAATAAAACGGGCCATTTGGTCGTTTGGGATTGGATGATGTTGTCAAAACTGTAGTGGGTAGAGCCGAACCACATAACTAGGTTTGTAAATTTTTAAATTGCATATTAGATAAAAAAATACAATATGAACAAGTTTCGATGTAATATCAATGTATAAATACTCGAATCGTTTTAATGATTTTTCAGTAAAGTTGTTAACTTTTCTGAATTTTTTACAGACAAAAGTTGGGTATAATCTGATTCTATAAGAACCGATGCAAGAAAAAAAAGATTCTTGATCCTTTTGTATTGGACTTGTCGGGTTCATATATACATGGTTTTTAGAGGATAAATTAGTAAAAACCCCATTATATTTGGATAAATTGGCAATTTAACTAATAATACTTTATTTATTCTATTTAAACTATAAAAGTTTCAGCATTTTTTCAAACTACCCATAAATTGTCTGAAATATAACGTCTTTTTTTTTTTTTTTTTTTTTTTTTGTAATTTCGCTTTATGTCAAAGGTGCAGCGGTTAGAGTGGAGCCACATAATCAGGTTTCTAAAATTTAACCCTTTCACAATTATTGTAAATTTATATTACAAATATTAAGTTTTATGTTTTTTATTTTTTCCTTGATAGGCCCAAGCCAGGATAAACTACTTACAATCCTTGAAAATGCACGGTTGTAAGGTTTTCCTGATCATTATAATGGTCAACATGTTTTACTCATATTGGTAATTTTGAGTTAAGAATGACATTGGAATATATCTTGTGAAGTCACTTGACATATTTGTATTTTCTAGAGGTGAATAATATGTTTATTTTTTCTTCTTACAGTGGTGGAACAAATTCACAAGAGAAGACAACCACTTCCCTCCATGGATGCAGTATACTACATCCAACCAACAAAAGAAAAGTAAATTATTTTATCTTTTCTAATCTGTTTTGTTTTTGTTTTATTCCATTTTTTAGTATTCAACATATTACAAGTGTTGACTCTTATTCAAGCTTGAAGTCAGAATTGGACACTAATTTGGAAGGAGTGTATATGGTGGAAGGTTATTGATCCACAGTTTACGTCAACTATCATGTGGGTTGACTTTAAAACTCAAGTGTATCTTTTTTTTTCCGGATGATTGCATACAGTTTAAGTTTTTAGAGCCTTTGATTCTCCTATGTGATTTGTTCATGCCTTCTGTCGCATCTTATAAAACAAAACATTGTTTCATTTACCTAATTTTTTTTCTTTTGGCATATTCACAGATGGATTATGAAGATTTAATCCAAAATATAAGATTAAGCTCACTTTGAAGAAGACAATGAAGTTAAATGGACTCACTTTCCGACGCAAATCATATGCTCTCAACCTGGTTTTTGACCTTGGTATTGTTGTAGCAGTTACTGAAATCATTATTCTTTTATCTAATTTTATCATTTTTTTTATTCATTTAAAGACACAAAACCACATACAATGGGTAAAACTTTTGTAGCCCATACATTTGATATGTTTAGAATGTTTGTATCGTTGAGAAAATCTAATATTACTTGTGTATGTATTGCTATTGAGTGTGGACATTACTACAATCCATTCTTCATTTGCAGGTATAATTTGGTTGTATGTTCTATTTTTTCTTTCACATGTAAGTTGTAAATGGAGCATGTTAGATTCATGTAATCGATAACAAGTTGTTGCATTTTTTTTGGGTATTATAACTGCCCACTTCCATTTTTTTTAGGTTTTTTTTTTTTTTTTTTCTTATAAAAATGTTCTTGGTTTAGTTTAGTTTATTTTTCTAATATTCATGGAAACAATGTCATTTTATGTTATATTACTTTGTAGTTTTGTATTAAAAAGATCAAAGTTGTATGGTTCGTGCTAGAAACAGATCCAAATAAAAAATACCAATGTACTTTCATTTTTTTTGTCAAATATAACGTCATACTTTCATTTTCTATTTTGTCAAATATAGAAAAATGAAAGTAGAGTTCTATATATGGGTATATACTCAAAACTGCAAACCACCGCACCTCATTTATAATATCCAAAGTACATTGGTATTTTTTATTTGTCTGTTGTTTGTGTGATGTATGTGTGTGCTAATTGATGTGTTCTTCAATCTTGCAACTGAAGTACTAACAAGATGAATGTTCCCTTATTTGGGTGTGCACATATGACTAAGGACAAAATCATCAAAAATCTCTTCAAGAACGAGGCTCAAACAATAACACCCTCTTTAACCTAAGTATAAACAAATAGTTTATGAAAGAATATCTACAGAGAATAAACCAAACAAAAAAGTCTCACATCTGGCCCCGCAACGCAAGATCACTCACCTAGTTGATATTATGTATTATTATTAATTAATATTTTTATTAAGTTTTAATAATTATTACGAACCACATCTTGATAGACACGCCCACTTGCCGAAAAACACTCTTGTGGGAGATGTTTTTTTCTTAAATCATTTTCAAGTTGGGAATTTCAGATACCATGAGTATCCAAAATATCAAAAATACATTCTTATTTATTGTTGTTTGAAAAATTCTTATCAGAGAAAATCACAAACACCATGTTGTAAATTGTAATAGAAAAAAACAAAAGCAAGATGTTATAATTAAACATTTAAATGAGAGTACCTTGCTATTTCTTGCATTTATCTACTCTCTTTTATTGTCGAAGCATATTTGTTACATACTTACATATGTATTGTCTTTGTTCTTATTCTTTACATTCTATCAGTCATCAAAACTAATATTGAGATGATACAAATCTTGGTTAATTTATTTACTTTCAAATGTGCTTCTTGCTTATTGTGTGCAAGGGTGTACTCGGATCACACAGTAAGGTACATGAAACCCGTTTCGCACCCTGGGACACTCCTTCTATTGACCATCATAGCTTGCGCAACATAGATTTTTTCATTTGTAAATTAACTAACATGTTACTTAAAACCCAACATATTTTAGTATTTTTTGACAAAAAAAACCCGACATATTTACCCTATATATCTTACGCAACATAAATTGTTCCTGTTTGTTTGAAGAATTATTTTGGGCACTATGAAAAAGTCGCAAAAGTTCGGACTATCGGACAGCTGGGTCGACTCTCGATTTACACACTTTGCAGATATGTATTTCTGAACTTGCCAGAGGAAAAGATAGCTATGACTGCTCCAGTTTTCACTCAAGAATTTGATTCAGCAATGTCCAAAACGTTTATCGAAATTGTTATTCCATAGAATAAAGGGTTGGAAAGGTAAATAGTTTTTCTTCTCTTTAACATTATGTGTGGTCTGAATAAAAATGATTTATTCAGAAAATGACACTAGAACCTACGTGAGCATAAGCTAAAAACCATAATCCTAATTTCTAATTCCTATATTATCCTTCCTGCGTTGAAGAGAACTTGTGTAGGTTAGAAACTTTCAAAATTAGCATCGAAAACAAATGAGGCATCATTTATTATATTAAGCAAGAATTATATTAATGTGAATAAAATTCTT